CACATCAGGATGGTGACCAAATATCAAACCAGACCTGGAGATGCTTTTCTTAGAATCCTGAACAGAAAAAGATCTTCCTGGCCATCTTTCCTTTCTCTCCCTCCCCCAGGTGAATGCAGAAAAAAACCCAGGCAGTTTTCAACCATAATCCACCTTCTTTGTAGACTGTTGTATGCAGCTAACAAAAATTATGTTCATGCCTGGCAAGTGTGGCTCAGTGGTTGACTGTCAGCCCATGCACCGAGAGGGAGCTGGTTCTATTCCGAGTCAGGACATATGACTTGATCCCCAGCAGAGGGTGTGCAGGAGGCAGCCAATCGATGTTAATGTTTCTCCCTCATTGATATTTCTCTCCCTCTCCCTCTCTCCCTCCCTCTCTCTCTCTCTCTCCCCCTTCCTCTCTCTAAAATCAATAAAAACACTTTTTAAAAAAATTATGTTCAGAAAGACAATGTAGAAATAAGCAAAACTGCTTATAATGCAATTTTGAGTAAACAAGGCAAGATACAAGATTGTTATATATGAACGACTCTACATTTACTTTGTTTTCTTTTAAATCCTATGAATTAAAAGGCAGGAGAGAAGCTCACCCAGATATTAAGATCAGGTTTGTTTGGGTGGTAGAACAATGGACTTTTTTTCTTTTTGCCTTTTTCTCTGTGTTCTCCAATTTTTCTATCCATAAGTATAAGTTTATAATAAAAAAATATTTTGAAATGGTATGAATCATGAGTTCACAGAATATCCTTCTACACTGGGGCTGGGTGAGGTACAGCCTATGTGATAGATGCATTCATGTGAACCTCAGTCTATGAAGAAAGCAGTCAAGTTGGGAAGGCCAGGATACAGGAGGAGTGGCAGCCAAAACTTGAGTACTTTGCTTTATTTAAGTCCTTCCCACTGTTCCTTTGAGAGAATTTTGAAGGGAAGGAGGGAGTATGTAAAGCTGTGCTAGCTCATCCAGCACCTTTGAGTGAATTAGAAAAAGACCCCTTCCCTGGGAACACAGCCCTGAACCAGGGCACCCCAGCTGGTGTCAACCCCCACGGTGATCCTGGTAAGGGAGGGAAGTGCACATAATTATGTGCTCTATGAGTACCCTGAAAGGATGCTTTTCTTGAAAAAAGCATTCCAGGAATGATGATGTCAACAGCATTGCACTCCTGCCCCAGGGAGAGGCTCTTTCCTCTAGGTGTTGAAAACCTACCCCCTATGCAAGCACCCGTGTGTACGTCCACTCTTGCGCATGCACATGGCTCACTAGCCGCCAATCGACACACACGTGCTTGCTCATTATTCAAGTGCACAGTTTCCCAGACCTTGATGGGACACAACCCCAGTCTGCAGTCCCAGGCTCAGTCGCCAGATCAGCAGGAGGGGAACAAATCACTTAAGGTAACCTGGTTCCAAATTCATTTGGCTCTTGTTACAATAATATCAACCACAGTTCTTAAATGTGCTGGCTCTTCTGCTTTATGTCCTCTTTCTTGATTAAAGACATCATTAGTCACTGTCACAGAGGAGGTCCAAAGCTGGATCCTCCATAAAAGCCATTATAGAAGAGCCAAGGGTAGGAGCAGTTCCCATCAGCTTCTTCGTGGGAGGGGCCTCCCAAAGTATGTCCCACTATCAGATTTTTTTGCTAGGACACACACACACACACACACACACACACACACACACACACACCCTCCTTTTCTCACCAGATAAGCTAACATAATGGTTCTCATGTCTGGCAACTGCACATTACACTTTTAAAACCTGGGGAGCTTTTTAAATAACACTAATGCCTGGGCCCTATCCCAAGTCAATTTGGTCAGAATCACTGGGGGTGAGCCCCAGGCTTGCGTTGCTTTGTTTGTTTTGAAATTCCCTAGGTGATTCTATATTGTACGCAGCACGGGGAGCACATCCTGAGGCTTCTCCTCAGCTGAGATTTGCAAACACTTTTCTGGTTCTAGGTGAACAGCAGAGAGCCAGCCAAGCGCGGAGGTGAGCTCCAGAGTGTACCAGTGTCTGTCCATCTTCCTCTAGCACCTTGCCTGTCACACCTGTTTGAATTAACTGACCTTAAAAACTTAACAATGAACCAATGAGCTATCTAGTCAGAAGGGAAAAAGGAAGAGAGGATGCTGATGGAACTGGAAATTAAAAGGGAGAGCCAGGGAGAAACACAGAGGACAGGCCAGATGGGCCGGGGCAGCCCCAGAGCGCCCCAATCTACCTGGAACTGTACTGATACAAACTTTTTGTTGGCAAAGGTGCTACCTGCTTTTTCCAGGAGAACAGAGGAAAACCCAGTCAGTCCTTGTCAGTGGGAGGACAGCTGCCACAAACGACTTGGATTAACTTTCGCTGTCTTTTTTTTTAAAAATCCTCACCTGAGGATATTTTTTCCATTGCTTTTCAGAGAGAGTGGAAGGGAGAGGGAGAGGGAGAGAGAGAGAGAGAGAGAGAGAGAGAGAGAAGCATCGATGTGAAAGAGACATATCTACAGGTTTCCTCCCCCATGTGCCCCAGCTGGGGATGGAGCCTGCAACTAAGGTAAGTGCCCTTGACCAGAATCGAACCCTAGACCCATCAGTCCATGGGCCAACACTCTAACCACAGAGCCAAACTGGCCAGGGCAGCTTTCATTTTCTAAATGACAGAATGTCTGCACTTTGGGGGCTTTTCCTACTCAAAGGATGAGTTAGGGTAGTGGGCCTGAGCTGCTCTTTGGGGACACGGGGTCCCCAGGACTATCTCTCTCCCCCGGTCCTGGCCTTGGCCTTGGAAAAATACCCATATGCTGGAGCCTCGAGATCTTTGCAGTCTCAGAACAACACTGATACTCACAGTTGCTTTGGGGAGTGGGGGGGTCTCACCCCACCCCCAGCTCTTTGAAGCATCAGGACCACCATTCTTTCAGTAAAGACAGCCTAATTTCAGGGTGGCGCTTCCCTAGGATTAATATGGTCACCATAGGTTTTGAAGTTTTGAAACTGGCATGTGGTCTAATAAAGGCTGTATGTGGGGAGGAGGGTGGGGAGGGGGTGGTGAAGGGGAGGGGTCACCTCGTTCAAGTTCCAGAGACTGGAAGTGTGAGCAGGCAGCTTTGTTCTCCCCAGCGCCAGGCTGCCTGTGCATGTGATGACTAGGGCTACGCATCAGAGAAGCCCCACCCAGGAACTGCTCTGAGTGGGCTTCAGTTCTTAAGGCAAACAGTGGAGATTAAATCTTACATCATTTAATAAACCACTTAAAGGCCAGGAGCTTTTCCTGGTTCCCCAGTGTACAGGGTGCTCCTGCAGCTCGGAAGCCGCCCTGCAGATTGCTCTCTTGTGATACTAACAACTCTCACCCTCAACCATTCTGCATCTCTGTGATGGAGTTAGGTGCTGGCTAACTGGTTAATATTACTGTTTACTGGTTAGTAAACAGAAGAACTTTCTCCACTCAAGTGCACTCACATCTCCCCTTTTCTCTTTCTCTTCTCATTTGCGAGCATTTGCCTCTCTGGACATTCATTAATTCGGTCTCATTTTTTGCTCTCAAAGAATGGTATGGAACAGAGCTATTAATGTGGATGTGTAAGAAATAACAGTTTAAATGTTAGGATAAAACAAAGCAAAACCAACAACAAACAGAAACAAAAGGGGACATTTCTGGTCTCTGATTGGAGTTCATGAGATGATTTGCTACATTTTCTATGATGCACACAGGCAACATGGCTCTCTGCGCCTCTGCTCCCAGGAAGGCAGTCTTAGTCTACTACCTTAGCCACCCCAGAAAGAACAAGCCTTTCAATAAGCAATTTACAAAAGCTGTCAAAGGAGCGGATGGGCTGGGGAACTTTAGCCAACCTCATCTATAGCTGCTGGGCAAACTACAAGTCAAATACAAGACATATAATAAGTTCCAGTGTCTGAGATGGGGTTTTGATATTTGGGGCCACTATCTGGAGGGAATCAGGGATGAAGTTTAACTTGACAGAAGTGGTCCATTTAAACAAGCAGAGGAAACCAGTTATATTAAGAAGTTTTTACAATTTAGAAACATAGTCTCTACTGGGTAGCAGCAAAGCACAATGGCTAAAAGCCCAGCCTGGGGAGCCAGACTACCTGGGTCCAAATACTGGTTTGGCTACTTCTCACTAGCTATGTAGTCTGGGGCAAGTAATTAGCTTCTTGTGTGCCTCAGTTTTCCCATCTTTAAAATGGGATAATAATAATAATACCTGCCTCACAGGCCCAGTGTGAGTACTTAGTGGATTAATAATATAAATCAAGTGCACAGAAGAGCAGAATAAGCTCTTTATAGTGTTAACTGATTCTGTATAGTGATGCAGAGCTACTGCAATCATTCATGTGGGGTTTTTCAGGATAAACAGATACTCTGAGGAGCCATCAGACCTATGTCCTGAGTCTGATTTGGGAACTGTGGTCATTATCCTGAGGTCATTCCACACCCCATGAGACAGCATACCCTAACACTCAGGACAGAATCTCAGAGCTGAGAGTCTGGTAATGGCCCTTTTTAGTAGACCTGTAGGAGCTCAGGATTTTTCTCCAGGGTGAGCACTTATAAGCCCCTAACTAATACTTGTACCTGGGATATTGCTGCTGGTGAGTGTATGTGCAAACCCTGTCACGGTGCCCCTATTGGCGGCTTTGGCGCACTGAAATCTCCAGCCCCTGAAGAGTTCCTAGTCCTGAATTATTTAGGGAATGGTATTAACACTTTGCTGTGAAGATGGAATGTGCATTTCATGGGTATTAAAGCAATGTCAGCTGAGGATGGAGGAATGTAGATCAGCACAAACTTTTTGGCGAACATTTTGGTGCTAACATGTGAAATGTTCATGGCTTTTTGACCCAGCATTCCAATTTCTTAGGTTATCTTATAGAAACACTTCACTACATAAAGAGTTATGCTTAAGAACCACTGAAGAATCACTGGAAGTTAGAAACAATTCTACTGACCATCAAGAACAAATGCTTAACCCAGCAGTAGCTCACCTGGACAACGGGAGGCATGCCACCATCACGAAGGACAGGGATGTGTAAGTGCCGACAGGAGAGCGTCTCCAAGGTATATGCCTAAGAAAAAATATCTGGGACACTAGGGTAAAAAGTACATTTTTGTTTTTGAAAGCAGTAATACTTGTTAATATTCATTTGGGGGAAGGGAAGGAAAGAAAGCTCTGGAGGGATATACGCCAAACTGTTAGCGGTGATCTTGGGGTAGGAATGGAGGTGAGGTTGTGAGAATTTTTCTTTGTTACATATACGTTAAATTTGTTATAATTCATATAACATATATAATCAGATACACACACACGTAGCCAGGACATCCATACCTGAGGGCTTCCACTCAGCGTTCTCAGAGGGCAGAGGCCGGCATCCTCAGGATGTATCAGGGGAGCTGAAACGTCTTCTTCACGGGACCCGATGCCAGGGCTCACGTGTATATATGAGTTTGTTTCCCAAACTGGGCTCTCATTGGAAGCTCTGGCTTAGATACTCATTTTGGGGGGAGAGGCTCCATGGTATTCAGCAGTTCAAGAGTCTGGCTGGGACCCAGGAGACTTGGGGCCAAATCCCACCAAAGGGGGACAACCATGGCTTGCCTAGCTGTTCTATGATGTGAGAATCAGACAAGCTCACTGATAAAAAAAAACCACGACTTTCCAAACTAAAGGAAACACAGAGCAACTGATCATGCTATTCTATGCCCCACAGGGACTACAGAGGGTTACCTGGGGGGAGAGTGCAATCCCTGAGCCCTTCTGGTGGCATGGAGCTACTGAGTCAGTATAAAGAACTGTGGGGAGGGGCACTGGAAGATGACCCTTCAAATCAGTGAGCACAGCTCCTTCCAGGGCTGATGGTGAGGGTCTGCATTTCCTCTTCACTTGCCAGCACCTGCGGGTATGCTGAGCACAGCCCTGAGCCCTGCCAGCAGGGAAAAGTGCAGCAGCCAATATTCTCAGAAGAAAACTTCCCAACCCCCAAGCAGCCACTCAGGTCCAAGCAGAGTGGTGCATGGAAGTCAGAGATGCTGCGCACTGCAGTGAGGCTGCTGCATGTGACTGCAGAATGTTTGTGGCTGCAGAACTTGCTGGAGGACACAGCCAGGCCCTCAGAGGTCATGCCTGCTGAACAGAAGAGCAGGGGAAGAAGAGCCTCCATGATCGTGGAATAGTGGCCACCTCTTCCAGCCCACCCTGAACTCAGCTCCTGTTTCTGACTCTCCCTTGCCATTGAAATTCTGGCTGACATTTTGGATCTCTGTGTAAAAATACTGCAGAAGCCCATCTGGTTTCCTGCAGTGAGATGAATGGTCCCCCAATTCATTCCTACCCATTGATGGACTTTCAGATGTCTCCACTGCAGCAAACTGCTGGTGAGTCAGAGGCAGACGGCAGGCAATGCTCCATTCACTCACCCTCTCACAAAGGGACAGAGCAGAGGGGTGGACTGAGGGCAGATAACACATTTACTTTTCTCTTTCTTCTTGGGCCAATAAGGAGAAACTGCTGCTGCCAGAGAATAGGGGGTGGTGAAAGGGATAGGGGTCCCTGCCTCATTTTGGTTATGACAAAAACTATGCCTGGGTATGCAACTCCTTTTGTTTATATGTATTTCCCATTTTACAGAACTTATCATCTTGGCCTCAAAGTACTTTCCAGAAACAAGCTCAAGGGGCTCAGGTAGAAATAGGTCTGTGGCTGCCCCCCAGGCTCAGAGGTTTGATGTGATGGGCACATCGCCTCCCTCCCATCGTCCCCTCCACTTTCCTCTCATTCGCTCTGCCCCACCACACCGGCCTCCAGACACACTCTCAACTCTGGGCCTTTGCATGTGCCTTCTCTCTGCCTGGAATGCTCTTTTCCCAAATATCTTCATCCTCACTCCTTCACCTCCTTCTGATCTTTATTCAATATCAACTTCTCAGTGAGGCCTTCTCTGGACAAGTTACCTAAACTTACAGCTCCCATCCCCATACGCTCCTCAACCCCCTTCCCAGCTTTATTTTTCTCAATAGCGTTTAATACCATTTGACATTCCATCTGTTCTATTATTTATCTTATTTATTATCTGTCTCCTTCCACTACAAAGTAAGCTTCCCCAAGGGCAAGTGTTTTGTCTGTTTTGCTCACTGCTGTGTTTGCAGTATGCCTGGTGCAGCATTTGGAATATAGTAGGAGCTCAATAAATTGTTGTCTGTGATTTGCTTTCCTACCCTCCAGTCCATGACCTCGGCCTTTATACATGAATGGGTGGATGGAGCCACAGGGAAGTAAAGAAATGAAGGGTGACGAAAGGAGAAGAATATTAGGAAATGTGGAAAAGTTATATGTATGGAGAGACGAGAAGGAGCAAAGTCTAAGAGATCTCCGATTAAATAAGAGGACTTACAGAAGGCCAGCTTGTGCTAGGAAGGAAGATCACAAACTCCAGAATCTCCAGGAAGTACAACCTGGAAGCAACCAACACGTGGGCACAATTCATGCGGTTTGGCTGCAGCCACAGCTTTGGGCCTCCTGCATGTCTTCTGCTACAATGCCATCCTCGGTAGGCCAAGGGAGCTGTAAACAGCACGTCTGGAAAGAGGAGGAAGGAACCAGGAAGGGAAAGAAAGGAGAGGAGGGGAGGGGCCAAGTGAAAGACCAAGTGAGTGATCTTGGGGAGGTTAGGTGACAAGCCACTGGGCAATGGAGGAGATTAGAGGTGAGAGGCCAGAACTTCAGCAGGAGAGATGAAGGGAGGAGAGGGGAGAGGCAGGAAGAAGATGGACTCAGAAGAAGAAATGGGCAGAGGTAGGAAGCAAGCATGACTATGCTGTTATTATACAGAGCCAGGCATCTCACAGGCCTGTGTAGGGAAGTGTCACTACTGCTCCGGCGATCTGCCCTGGAGTTCTGTGTCTTTTTTTTTTTAGTTTTGTGTTTTTACTATTCTAAAGTTCTCAGTTCTTACATTCTTTCCCAGAGATGGATGGAGATTATATATATATAAACTTGGAAGAACTATTTAATAATTTGGAAACTTAATATTTTGGTCATATTTAGGAGGGTTATATTAAGGTATCTTCCCCTTGAATTTGGTAACAAAGTCAAAAAAAGTCACTGTGAAACTGAATCCACCAAAATCAATAAAGAACAGATGCTTTTTGCTACTTGCAAAATAAGTCAAAGTAAGAGACAACTTATGGCCCTGTCAGGGTATCTCAGTTGGTTAGAGCTTCACTCTAATACACCAAGATTATGGGTTGTTCCCCTGTCAGAGCACATACAAGAATCAACCAATGAATGCATAAATAAGTGGAACAACAAAATGATGTTTCTCTCTCCCTCTCTCCCTCCAATCAATCAATCAATCAATAATTTTTTTTTTTAAAGAGGCACTTTATAAATGGAGATGCAGGGTTTATCATGCTTCACGAGGTATTTCCTAGGAGACTAGGTTCTTAGACTAGAGATTTTCTCAGTCTAGTCAAGGTGATCAATTAGGATATATCTTCAGAATTGGAATGCGTTTAATGAAAATAAAGTTGTAGGTTAAATCAATCATCTAACATATTCAATCTGATTATGCGAAGTGGGTTGTATGGAGTCTAGTTAAAGGAAGGTCAAGAAACAAAAATTTTTTGTGCACATCCAGTTGGTCCAAAGGAAATTCTTCTCTAATTTAAAAACCCCAATTCTGATTTTCTAGATATCCTTGATTTGGAGAATGGAAATTAACCCAGCTACCTTAGCTGAATGGAAATATTCCTTCGAACATCCCACTGCCTTTGTTCTAATTCGTTGCTCACTAAGGTAATTTGTGATCCCTGTCTATAAATTGACTTTTCAAAAGGAATGCCCACCACAAAGGTTCTAAGCTAAGAACCATGTCTGTAATCTGGCAAGGGAGAAATATCTTTGTTAAATGGCATATAGGCATGCTTGTATATAGATCCTTCAGCTACCTGAGTTTTGGAAAATTGTGCTCTGGTTCCCCTGAGCCTGGTCACCCCAGAGAGAGGAGATAAAATCCTGTGATAAAATTCCGTACCCAGCCCTGCAAAGCTGAGGACTGATGCAAGGTGTTGACAACAGGGAGGGATTGCTGGAAATGGTCAGTTTCTCCTTTTTGTCTTCTTTCAGCTGCAACCAAAATTCAGTGGCCAAAATATATAAATAAAGAGGACTTCACAGTGCTGCATTGGAATGATTTCAATAAACCTGGCATCAGGTCACCAATATGCAGTGTACTTTGCAGCACACATTTCGTACTAACCCACTAAGCATTCATCTTTCTAAAGGAGCAGAGTACTGAATGCAGGGTATAAACTCTCTCATCTGAGATGCTTGTGCCTCCTTTCTCCAGTAATCAGGGCAACTCTATGCAAACAGTGGCAGAGGGAGTGAAAGAAAATGGCCCGGGAGGGCAAACACAGGGCTTACCCTTCTCTGGAAGATGCAATCAGCCTGATTCTCTTTTCTGGAGATCAAATCCTCCTCGACATCATAGCTTTCCATCTTGGTAGCAGAGGACCAGATTCAGACCTGTTTTTCTTTCCAGCCAGGGTAATTTTATTCCATTTTGCACGTTTCAATAACAATTTTCTTCCCATCCCTACCTCCAACTGCATTTTCATATTCTGAAATGCCTCTTGACCAGAGACATAAAGCCCCCTCCAGGGTCAGCCATATTGCCAGCATCAGAGAGCCAGCGGGGCCACCTGCTGGAAGGCTTGGGCACTGCTCTGGCTGCTTGGTTCCTCTCTGCCTCTTTGGTGTCCTTAGAGTCAGCCAGGTCTATGGCAGGACCACAATCTTCTTCTCCAGCTTTTGAGGCGGAAACAGAAAGTTTCTCATTATTTCATCCAGCTCTTCCAAGGCCAGCTGGGCATGGAGCCTGGCCACGTCATCGGGCTCCAAACGTACTACATGCTTCAGCAGGTGGTAGAGATCCTTGAGAACATCCCTCAGCACCTGCACAAGAGAGAGTCATGACTATGCGTCTACTGTGTCAGCATTTCCAAGAATGACCAAATTGCCTTCTCTTGCCTGAGGAGTTCTGTGAGGAAACTCATATGCTCCCTTAAGAAGATAGAGCCAGCCCTCTCAGGTTAGAGACGGAGGAAGGGCAGCTGTACTGAGATAGGCTTCCCTTTGAACTTCTCACACACCCTGGTTCCCTCACTACACTGGCCTTCGGGCTGCTTCTCCCCTTTAGCCCCAGGCCCAAGTATGGATGCCTGACCCCTTCCTTCAGTCCCAAAGCATGGCACAGGCCTCAGAACCACAGGTACTGCCCAGATACGGTAGCTCCTAGAGCACAATCACCAGCATTTTCCTCTCTAGCTCCCACAAAGCCCTCTGATGACATGCATGGAGGCTGTTTCTTCAGCAATCATGCCTGTCCTTGCCATTACTTTAAAATTTCCCCTCCATAGTTCCATTTCCATGTCCTTCCCCTAGTCACTGTAATTACTTTTCAATTGCAACTC